GTTCGCGAATACCTTGATTTAGATCATATGAAACTTGTCTCTCCTTCTCAAGCGCCAGATTTTTGTTATTTACCCCATCACACCGTTGTCAATTTAGAAAAACAGACCTCAAAATTGCGAGTAGTTTTCAATGCATCGAATAAGACTTCCACTGGTACAAGTCTTAACGATATTCTGCAAGTGGGACCAACACTCCAAGCTGACTTAGTCCATTTGATTGTGTGATGGCACTTATATCGATTTGTTTTTAATTGGGATATCACCCAAATGTATAGTCAGATTCGAGTCCACCCAAAACATACACCACTCCAAAGGATTTTATTTAGAGACACCCCTTGTGACCCCATTAAAGACTACGAATTGCAAACGGTCAACTTTGGCGTAAACTGTGCCCCTTATCTTGCCATACGCACTTTATTTCATCTTGCTGATGATTGTGAATCAGAATATCCTTTGGCTTCTAAAATATTACGTAAAAGTATGTATGTCGACGAAGTTCTTGCTGGCGGTCACGATATAACTTCCACTTTGCTTGCGCGTGACCAACTTATCACTTCCATGCCCACAGCTTGATTTCAGTTACGAAAATGGACCTCAAATGAAAAATCTATTCTTGAACGTTTACCCCCTAGTCACTTAGTCGATGCTCAAGTTCTATCATTCGTAGAAGCAAGCAAGTCCAAACCTTTGGGCGTAAGATGGAATGCCAGTCTAGACTCCTTCTATTTTGCGGTAAATCCAATTCCTATAAAATCTAATTACTCAAAGCGGGAAGTCCTTTCACATATAGCCAAATTATTTGATCCTGTAGGTTGGTTAGCTCCCGTTATTGTCGTTGCAAAGATTATAATGCAAAAAGTGTGGTTAGATAATATTAGATGGGACGATTCACTTCTTCAACTCAAACCTTCTGGCAAGAATTTGTTGAGAATTATCCCCAGGTCAATTCAGTTAAGATTCCGCGTTGGGTTCAATATGAGCCAAGCTCCGTAGCGGAATTGCACGTGTTTTCTGATGCTTCAGAGAATGCATATGCGGGGGTAATATATATTCGCATTAAGGACTCTTCTGGTAATATTAAGGAAATTTGTTATCATCCAAGACGAGAGTTACACCCATAAAGTCCGTTTCTCTTCCTCGGAGCTTTTAAAACGCATATTGAATGAAATAGACATTCCTATTCAAAAGTTATACTATTGGTCGGATTCAACAATTGTGTTAGCGTGGTTGCGAAAAACGCCTACTACTTGGACGACATTTGTAGCAAATCGCGTTTGTCGAATTCAACAAAACGTAGGAAGTGCCAATTACTTCACATTGGAATACTGATGAATTAACTCTACTTGAAACTAATATAGAGGTTCGAAGCGTGAAATCACATTTTTCATTTTTTACCCAATATGAAGATATTTTAGATAATTTTTCATCCTTGGATAGAGCGTTGCGAGTTTTATCTTATATGTTCCGATTTATACATCAAACTCATCCACGCTATCGTTCGCAAAATTCTTTTACCAGTAACGTTATAACTTCAGAGGAAATTGGAAAAGTTAAACGTCGTCTTGCCACCTTAGCACAAAAAGTTTACTACGCAACAGAATATGAGACCCTTATTGATAAACGCCATTTGTCCTCTAGTAGCTCCCTTCTGTCGCTTAACCCAGTGTTGGATGAATTCGGTGTCATGCGATTGAATGGTCGTTTGATCAAATCTGATACTTTAACTCTTGCGAAAAATTACCCCATCATTTTGCCGTATATGTCGTTTTACTCGTATCCTTGTTGAATATGTGCATACAAATTCCCTTCACGGTGGAAACCAACTAATGTTGCGTCTCCTTCGTATGGAGTATTGGACACCTCGAGTGAAAGTTCTGATCCGCACCGCAATTAGCCGCTGTAAAGTCTGTTTGTTAAAAATGCATCGACCATGTAATCAAAAAATTGTGTGCTCTCCCTCCCGAAAGAACTTCTGTTACTAGAGCCTTCACGAACACGGGAGTCGACTTTGCAGGTCCTTTTGAAATTAAGTCATTCACTGGTCGAGCCTGTCGTATAACGAAAGGATATGTCTGCGTGTTCGTCTGCTTCGCTACCAAAGCTGTCCATCTAGAAGCAGCATCTGATTTGTCCTCTGCTACGTTTCTTGCCACATTTTATCGTTTCGGTCGTCGTGACTGTCCAAAAACAATATTTTCAGACAATGGTACCAACTTTGTCGGTGCTTCTCGAGAACTTGAAAATGAGTTTAGGAAATTTATTCATGAAAGTCGTGATAAAGTTTGCTCTACCTTAGGATTTCAGGAACTTACTTGACAGTTTATACCAGCTGGTGTTCCCCACATGGGTGGGTTATGGGAGGCAGCGGTAAAAAGTTTTAAGAAACATTTTTATCGACATGCAAAACCCTTATCTTACACCTCTGAAGAATTCTCTACCATTTTGACTCGAATAGAGGCTTGTCTGAATTCTAGACCCTTTTGCCCGATGACAGATAATACAAATAATTTACTTGCACTTACTCCTGGACACTTTCGTTTAGGTGCTTTCCTCCTTTCTCCACCCAAACCCCTCACAGAAGAGTTACCATTGAGCTTAATTAATCGATATCGAAAGTTGAAAGCCTTAACACATCAATTTTGTCTTCGGTGGAAAGAAGAATATTTAGTCAGTCTCCATAAGCGATATAAGTGGAAATACCCCCAGAGAGATTTTGAAATAGATGATTTTGTTGTAATTGCCACCTACTTCATGGAAGTTAGGGCGTGTTGTCCAGACTTATCCAGGTATTGACGGGAAAGTTCGAGTTGTTGACGTCAAAACTGCCCAGGGAACAGTTAGGCGACCAGTCGTTAAATTAGTCGTCTTGCATAATTAAGCCGTTTTCTTTACTCTTCTTCTCGTTCGTGTTGTCATTTTATTGGTGTGTTAGTATGTCCTCTCAACAAGAACTATTCCCAGAGGTGATTTTGGATGACAAGGATGACAATTGAAAAACGCCTGCGGGCAGTAGCTTTCTGTCGGTATTGCTTTAATTTTTTAACCCCTGATCACATTTCTAAAAATTGTCCCGTCCTTCAGTCGTGTAGACATTGCAATGATCGCCACCACACGTTATTGCACAAGGAACGTAGGTCTCAAGAATTCAGCTCGCGCCGTGCACAGAACGTTTGGCCGACTACTGCCCATTACACGATCTTTGTCTTTGTCCCCCACTTTGTTGATACGAGTTTGCCTGTCACATTCTACCGTACCGGTCCGTGCGTTGCTTGACCCATGTTGTCAAGTAAGCCAAGTCTGCGCATCTCTTGTCTGACACCTTCGATGGCCAACCACTAAGATTAACCAATCAGAATACGCCGATTTTCTGATGGTCTCGCGATTTGATTCGGCACAAAGACAATTTGTTACGGCCAGTCTAGCCAATATAAACCGTGGTGTAACCCCTTCCATGTCGGCTCCACCTTCCGTGCGCGAGTCATTTGTAGGGTTGGAACTTGCCGATCCTAATTTTGATAGAGCTGGACCCATTGCAATGTTTTTATGGAATAAAATATTGAAATGAATTTGAAATGAATTGAATGCTCACAAAAACTGACCTTGGGTCCCTATTTTCCTTATTTATTAAGTATTTTTTATCCATATATTCTATAATATATATTTGTTGATACATATAGATGTATCACGGTGAGAGGCAATGTATAATATACATATGTTGACCTTCAACTTCCCGAGCTCAGTCAATCACGTTTGCTGGTTGACACAACGGGCATCTACCAGCAAGTTCCCTCAGCGGAGACCGCAGAGTTCAGATGCCACCGGGCGGTGGTTGTTGTTGGTTTTTCTCACCTTGGTACATGAGAGATTCTTGCTCTCATTGGAAGTAGTGTAGTAGTAGTAATATACGACAACGATCCTCAGCGATCACCGCGATCCTGTGCGATTCACTGAGCCCCAGCGTTCACTTGTCGTTTTGATTTGTAAGCGAAAGCACCAAGGCCTCTGACGCCACTCCAATTTACAAAGGTAAATTATTGTTGTAATTGAAAAGAAATAAATTCAATAAAACCACCAAACTAATTTTTGATATAAAACTAATCCCCCTTGTGTTCTCATTTATTTTCCTTATATTTTGTTTTGCATCAAACCCCTCATACAAACAAGTAGTTTCCAATAAGAAATATGTGTTGGGTTGGAAAACCATGTTGTAAGTAGAATCCAGAAATTTTAAAAATATCGAAAAATTCTAAAAAAAATTCAGTGGGTAATTCTAATCCAAATTGTTCGATAAAGTTTTAATTTTTTCCAAAAAAGTTTAAAAATCCACAAAGTTGTCCGGAAACTTAAATAGTGTTTTGTAATCCAAGTTGTATGTAGGGTTGTAAATCGCTTTACTGAAAAATATCGGATAACTGAAACTCGGCTCCTGCACCATTACATTTTTGGGTTGATCTCTCAATATTTACATCGCATAACTGAAACTCCGCATAACTGAAAACATCGGATTACTGAAACTATTGTAGAAGTCAAAAGTTGTTGTTTCCATTGAAATTACTCCGCTTTACTGAAAAAAGCACTGCTATCTGTTTTTCAATAGCTCCATAATGACATGTAGTTCAAATCAGTGCAATTACACAAGAACAAAATTACATAAAGTGTAAAAACAGAAACAAAACCTATCGATAGCTGGTGAGATCCGCTGATATCTGTTTACTTGGATAGGTGAAAACAACAAGAAAACAATTATAATAATTAAATATTTCCATATTAAACAGAAATGTCCAGCAAATATAAGTGTTTATCTTTTAAAGACAAACTAGAAATTATTTAAAGAGTGAAATCGGGAGTTCCTAGAAACGAAATTTGTGAACATTTTAAGTGTAGTGCAGCAACAACCACACGAATTATTAAAAATAAACAGACAATTGCCAATGTAGTGCACAAGAACAAAAATGTACTGATGAAACGGCAGAGACCAGGAGCGAATAAAACCGTTGAAGATGCGAATTATTAAAAATAAACAGACAATTGCCAATGTAGTGCACAAGAACAAAAATGTACTCATGAAACGGCAAAGACCAGGAGCGAATAAAACCGTTGAAGATGCGTTACTAATTTTTTTTAAAGATATGCGTTCTAAAGAAGCTACAATAACTGGGCCATTATTAATGGAAAAAGCCAAAGATTTTGCCAATAAACTCAATGTCGACTTTACACCATCGTATGGTTGGCTAGAGCGGTGGAAGAAGCGCGAGAATATTCACTTTAAAAACATTTATGTAGAAAAAGGTTCTGCTATTATAGTAGAAGCCAAAAAGTGGATAGACAAAATTTTTCCAATTTATCTTTCAGAATATTCTGCAGATAACATATATAAAGCTGACGAGTCAGCATTATTCTACAAACTTGTACTAAGTGGAACCTTAGCCAATAAAGGAGAAATTCCATCTGGACAAAAAATGTCAAAAGATAGAGTCACACTGTTGTTCATAACAAATTCAACAGGAAATGATAAATACATTTATTGTGTAGGAAAATCTAAAAGCCCAAGATGTTTTAGAAATAACGCAATTCCAGTAAATTATTATTCCAATTCAAAGGCATGGATGACAAAAATGTTATGGACCGAAATATTAAAAGACCTGGACATGCAGTTTAATAAAAATGATAAAAAAAAATTGTTCTTTTTGTTGGCAACGCATCATGTCACCAAATTATGGATGACGTTATTTTAAGCCTTATAAAATTAATATTTTTGCCACCAAATACAACATCTCTTATTCGACCCCTTGACCAGGGTATAATAAGATCATTTAAATCGCATTACAGACGTCGTTTGATATCGAAACAAATTTTGCATTTAGAATGTGGGTTGCCTCCAGAAGATTTTTTAAAGAAAATTAAGGAAGGATTACATATGTTCTGGAACTGCGTTACGACAGAATGTATTGTAAATTGCTTCAAAATTCGGGTTTTTCTTTAAATCAAGATACAAGTTACGACGTTGAAATTGTGGATGAAGAATTTGGTATCAATATCGAACGCCTAATTAATGCAGATGAAAATGAACCCTGTTGGGAAAGTTTGACAGATGATAGTATTGTAGAGTACATAACCCTTAGTACACAAGAAAACTCTGACGAAAATGTTGTACTTGAAGAAGACACCTCTGCTAAACCCGCCTTAAGAGATGCTTTTGCTTCAATTAATGTTCTTACTGATTATTTTCGAGACAATCCTGAAGCTCGACAAAAGCTTTACGACCTTGAAAATAGAATGTGTCAAGTGAATATTAAACAACTTACACAAAAAAATATAGAAGATTATTTCCATTGTAGTAAATAAGACTGATTTTTTAAGTTAACTTTTTTTACTTTTAATAAAAACACTGAAGTCTCCATAATTTATTTATCAAATTAGTTTTTTTTTCATTATACGACAGAATGTCAGTTATTTTATTATTTATGTTATGATCTCTTTACAAATAAAATTTGTTTAACTCATAAAAAGTGTACATGCGTGTTTTATGAATTTGTAGAATAGGCATTGGATTAATAAAAAATCCCTGATTATAAATTCGGATAACTGAAATTATTTTCAGTTATAAGAACTCCGCTTAAGTGAAAATATCGGATAACTGAAACGGACAAATTGATTTTTTTTTATTTTCAGTAAAGCGGAGTCGACTGTATAAGTTTTTTCCAAAGTAGTTAAAGTTTCGAAGAATTTATCCAAAAATTGCTTTGGGTATTTAAAAATCCCAAATGTGTAGGGTTATCAAAAATATTCTCCAAAAAATCTTAAAAGTTTCAATGATTTAGTTTGTAGCAAAGACTTTTTAGTTTGTAGCAAAGACAAACAGTTTTAGAGTTTAAACATTTTGTTCAAATATTTGTTGTTGTTCAAAATGCTTTGAACAGAAATGTTCAAAATACTTTGAACAGAATTTTGTATTACAGCAAATTTGATCTTTGGAGTGTTTTACGATAAGTGTCTAAAATCCCACATGCAACGTTGATAAGACTGTTGTGGTTGGTGGTGAGATTTTATGACGCATACGATGGGAAAACTCTCCACGGATAAAATTCTATAATTAGAACAAATAGTTTACTGATAAGTATTTTGTGTTTGAGATTAGGCTAAGAAAGAGTTGTTTCAGTAGAACCTAAGGACGCAAATCAGTATTTTTCCATAAAATGTAATAAAAATGTTTTTTTTCTCAAAAAGTGTTCAAATGTAAAAAATATTCATCAATGTGTAATGTCATGACTATCCATGTGTTATAACAAATTATATGAGGTTGCTAATATAAGTTTTTATAACCTTCAATTATTTTTGTTCAACAAATGGATTTCAGGTAAATTGTATGTGTTTTGCGATGACGCAAAATTTTCCACCAAAAATCGTAACATGGCGACTATGTATTAATATATATAGTAGTATGTATCTCCAGAAAATATGTAAGTGTAAATTATGACGCCGATAATTTCCCGATAAGTCGCGCCATAATTTATATATATATATATATATATACGCTTTGTATTTGATATATGTAAATTGTATGTAATAGGAATTCCAAAAAAATCAAAATTTTCCAGAAAAAATCCAATTATGTTATGTATTGGTCTGAGTCAGTAATTTTTACCAAATCCATTATGGTGCAAAAACAAGTTTAATGTAAAAAATTCCAAAATTCAAAGTTCGAATGTACCAATTCTTTTTAGTTGAAGTCCCTTGACCACGAATATACCTTTGGTTTTTCTGGGTCACTTCGAAAATTAGTTTTATAACGGTAAATGTAGAGAAAAACGTGATCTCATAGATTTTCAATTTGAAACGCGAATAACTTATTTACTTTCTAACGGATTTACATTATTCTTCTTTTCTTTCGAAGAATTTTTTCTTTCAAACAAGATATATATTTGGTAAATCGGTTCAGAAAAGAAGTTATACGCGTTTCAATGTGAAAACCACGTTTTTCTCTACATTTACCGTTATAAAACTAATTTTCGAAGTGACCCAGAAAAACCAAAAGTATATTCGTGGTCCAGGGACTCCAACTAAACGGAATTGGTACATTAACCCCTGAAAAAATTTTTTGTTTTGTTTTGTATCACAGTGTAATTTATGTATGTGTTAGTGGGTTTTATTTTTGCGAGGTACTCTCTTTTTCTCTCTCTCCACTGAGATTTCTAATTTTTTCAAAATTTAGACAAAAAATTCCCAAAATTTGAAAAGTTTGTATGTAAATGTTCAAAAAATCAGGTTTGTGTGTATATGTGTCTATATGGACGTATGTGTGTATTCCCTCTGTACGCTAGGGTCAACGTCAGTCATTGGTTTAATATGTGTGATTTTGGGGAATTTTGCCCAAAAGTGTGAAATTATTTACACAGGTGCTTCAACAGGGAATGCTGTTGCCTGTAATGCCCAACGAGAACTATCTCCTTGCTGTCCGCTGTGCTTTTTAAAGCCTACTTATGTTTTCCAATGTTATTGGAAGGCAACAAAGGGTATTGGCTAGCGGCAGCGAATGTATGTATGTTAGTGTGTACATATTTATTTGTAAATATTGGGTACAGCTACATTTACAGTGGCATCCAATAAGTATGGTACCAGACCATACAAATGGTCTATACCCAAATTAATATTGCAGTAACGAACTCACGGAAGAGGTCGAAACACAATAATGTCAAAGGGAATTATGGTAACAAAAAAATAATGTGAGACTATTAACCGATAACGATGCGAAAAAGGAACAGGTTCCCCTAATATTAAAGCAATAAGTGAATCTATCTTCAAGCTCAGTTACTTTTCAAAAAAAAAAAAAAAAAAAACACATCATTAAATGGAGAAATGTAATTTTTTCTACAGACACGGGAGCCGATATATCAGTAATTAAAATCGGTAAAGTCCTACACGAACAAATAGATGAGCAGAAAACAACTAAGATTAGTGGTGTAGGTCATTGTTTAATACGATCGCTTGGAAAAGTTGCAGCAGATTTAATTGCTGAAAACTTGCTAATAGGACATGAATTTCATGTTGTTAATGACAGTTTTTCAATTCCATCCGATGGAGTTATAGGTATGGATTTTATAAAAAAACATGATTGCCTTCTCGACTATCAAGAAAATTATGACATTGCCCTAAAAATGTGTTAAAGTCTGAGGTAATACGACTTATAAATATTCAGACTACGGTAAAAGAAGTATTAATACCAAACCAAATGCTACAAAATGGTGTATACATTGGAAGTTCTATAATTTCTAGTTCAATGACTCTATGAAAAATTATGAATATGACGAACGAAGATATGGTTATTTCTGACCAAAAGATTCGAATTGGGAAATTGAAAGACTACTATTTTATAGAGCAGAACCAATCATGTAAAAAAATGAAAAAATTATCACATCATTTTTCAAAATTTGACAAAAAAGACAAATTGAGAAAATTCTGTTCTGAATTTTTGACATTTTTTCTTTGGAATCCGAAACAAATAGCAAAAAATAATTTATACGAGCAGAAACTACGGTTAATAGATAATGAGAAAGTCAATAAACAGGTTAATGATGAAATAGTTGAACCATCGGTATGAGTATATAGTAGCCCAATTTTGTTGGTTCCTAACAAATCCTTACCAGAGTCTGAACAAAAAAGATAGATAATAGTAATCAACGACTATTATAAATAAAAAAACTTATATCCGACAAGTTTTCACTTCCTCACATAGACGACGTTTTGGATCAATTAGGTAGAGCCAAATATTTCTTTTGTTTGGATCTAATATATGTGTTTCATCAAATTGAATTAGATGCGGAATACAGAGACTATACATCGTTTTTCCATAGTGAAGTGATATGTTTGTCTTCAAAGTTCAGTAATTATTATTATTTTTGCGCTCATTGATTAAAGTAAATATTTCCACATTTCCAGTCATAATTTTTTTAATTAAGACTTCTAAAAGTGAAAATTTTATTATGGAGCCTTCAGGTGTTTGAGCATATGAAAAATATTTGTTAATTTAGATAAATGTTTTCGAAATATTGAAAAAATAAGGAAATTGTCCCAAAAATTAGGTATTTTTGCTGTTTGTATTGGATTTCAACTGAATTATCGGTGAAACATAGTAAAACTTTATTTGCAGTGTGTCTTCAAAGTTCAGTAATTATTATTATTTTTGCGCGCATTGATTAAAGTAAATATTTGCACATTTCCAGTCATAATTTTTTTAATTAAGACTTCTAAAAGTGAAAATTTTATTATGGAGCCTTCAGGTGTTTGAGCATATGAAAAATATTTGTTAATTTAGATAAATGTTTTCGAAATATTGAAAAAATAAGGAAATTGCCCCAAAAATTAGGTATTTTTGCTGTTTGTATTGGATTTCAACTGAATTATCGGTGAAACATAGTAAAACTGCTTGTATTTTCTTAAAGTATGAACTTTCACCTTATAAACTCCAAAACTTGTTGCATTTTTTGACTTATTAAAGAAATTGTAAAATAAATATTGGATTGTCGCTAAAAATATTGGATTGATTGTTGACCAACCAAAACCAGGCTTTGGAAACTAAAACGATGGTAATTCGGAAAAGCGCTTTTTTAAGAATTCTGAAAAGTATCTGCAGAAATTACAAAAATTGATTTACAAATGATAAAAAATATGCACAAAATATTGATAGTTGTTTCTGGTGGCATTGAAGACAAAACACTGAAAGGCCATTTGTTAAAAATTATCCATGGTATTATATGCCTCCTAATCTACATAAATACTACATTCACGGGCCAGAAATTATAGCACTTGCACCATTGCCTATTGGTCAGCTAACTGAAAAATCCCAGGAAGCCAGAAATAAGGATTTCAAAAGCTATATGGAGCACTTTTCCGTAAATTCAGTCGGGAAAATACAATACAAGACGTCTTTAATAGATTTATTTTATGTTCAGATCCATTTATTTCGAGCAAGAGGAAGATTTGTATAGAGAAAATACATCAAATGCCTCAGACTTCTTTGGAGTTACTTATTCTTACCCAAAATGAAAATGATAATGATGACGAAGATGATGTGGATAATGAAGATGACGACTATTTTAACGAATTGTACGATGATTAAGAAGTAAACGATTATTATTAAGTAAACTAATTTTATAATGGTTGTGAACTAAATGATGATTAATAATACTTTTAAAAGTAATGAAATTAAGTATATATAAAAAAAACAGTACAATTATATTGTTTTCAATTATTTTTTCCTGTAATGGCTGTTTGTTTTACTTTTATACTTTGGTTTTTGTTTATGCATATTGATCAATAAGATATAATAATATTTTATAATGTAACTTTTTTAAAATATATGGAATTTGAAGAAAAAAAATCGGATTTTAATTTGAAATTTTGGGTATAAAAATACAGATTAAATATTTATTAATTTTTATTTTTTAAGAACATTTTTTCTAAAAGTACATTAAATATGCTCTAATTTTCAATTGTATTTCCTAATTTATCATTTTTAGTTGAAAAGTTACAGCGAAAATTGTGATATAAGACCACTTTTTCCAAATTACAAAAAAAGGCCATAAACGATTGAAACAATTTTGTTTTTATTTTTTTCCTTTCTAATTATGCTTTTTTATGCATTTATGAACATCCATCAATAAAAAAATAACAATATTATAAAATTACTGCTTTCCTGAATTAATCGCCACTTTACCTACCGATCAACCCTATGTGCGACGGCAGCAAATATTCGATCATTGACAATTTTCCTACACCAAAAAATAGTGATGAAGCTAAATCGGACTGATTAAATGCCTTTAACATATTAACCATCATCTAAATTAACTATAATGAGACTTGATTTAAAAGAATATGACTTTACAGTCGAATATATATTGCGGGAAAATACAACAATGGGGAAGTTACGCTGCCCCGTCTTGATTTTGAGGATATTAAGGAACAACTAGACTTCAGGCAAAACAAGGCAAGTCAAATCAGATATATAATGATAGACTGCCAAAAAAATCGGAATGTTTAAGAGTGTTTGATGCAATAAATGCCCATGAGCAAAGTAAAATACAACAATTGCATTTTACGGAGTATACAGTTATCAAAAAAAGGAAGCAAGTACTTTCTCATTTTTTGTTGAAAGGCATATTGATTAATAAAAATTTATACTTAGGTCATCTCTTTTTAAAGCCTAAAAAATAGCTTACAATATTAGTCTGACAACCTTTACGCCATCACTTGATGTTTACATACATTCATAGGAGTAGATAGAGAAACTTTTAAAAATAAAGCAAATGAAATCTTGCAAAATTCAAATTTACAACTTGTGTTCATACCAAAACCAAATATGTCAAACAATGTCAAAAAATGCCAGACAGAAAACAGTTCTGTTAAAAGCAGGGAGTCATTAATAACAACACCAACTCCACAAAAAGCTTTTGAAAGAGTTATAATCGACAAAATCGGTCCACTACCAAGGACTAATTCACAGAATGAATACGCTGTGACAATCATGTGAACCATGTACTCATATATATCTATGCCATCTAATGAATTTTTTTTCGACGTTCCCACGCCTCTCTTTCACAACCCTGCCGACCGAGGGGGCGACCTTTCCTTACGTAGGGGTCGCGTGCACACCATGATCCGTATCATGATGGGATTTGAGAGTGGAACAGAAAACCAGCTACAGAATCTAGTTCTACAGCCAGTTTGTTATTAAGTTTTACTACTCACAATAATATTAGATTTTTTTTGTTCTACGCTCAAGCAAAAATCTACATTAGAGTATACAGAGTTAAAGTCAATACACATTTTACTAAGAGGATCGCCCATAGATTAATGCGTGCGGTGGAAGTCTACATATAACTGTTGATAGTGTCTACTAGATCGGACAGGATAATTTATTCTAATAGAAGAAATTAGGAAATCTGAAGGTATATTACCATTTAATATTTTAGTACCATCATAGTATTCAACATAATACGTCAACTTTTCAATGTAGGCAAACGAATTAATTTTAACCTGCTAGTATTGTTGTGATAAAAACGTAGCTTTACTTTGTGCCAATAAAATTGTATTTAAGTATTAAGAATGACAATAGAGATGAGAAAAAATATAAAATGACGTTTGTTTGACATATGCAAATTAGGGATGGTAATTAATAAGTACAGTAATAAAAGTACACGTTTTCAACACCCTCACATGTTGGATATTTAATTCAGTTCAATATTCATATATGCTAAAAATATCAAGATCTCAAAAAATAAAAAAGAAATTGTAAATTTAGAATTCAAAATTATATAAAATGAATTAAAATTCAACATAAACCCATATGCTGCAAACAAAAAAGATTTTTTTCCTAGGTTACTGCCTTCGTCAGGCTATCTGCACCCATTTCATATGTAGGCACGTACATGATGGAAATAATCCCTTTTTCGACTGTCTCTCGCATGAAATGGTATTTTATGTCGATGTGCTTGGATCTCGGTCGAAATCCATCTGACTCTGTTAATTTAATAGCGCCTTGATTATCGCAGTGTAAATTAATAAATCGGATAGCTCTGCAATCTAGTTCAGCAGCTAGCTGCTTCAACCATAGTGCTTCCTGGATAGCTGCTGACATAGCCGTATACTCGACCTCAGTGGTAGATATTGCTACAGTAGGTTGACATTTGCTTGCCCATGTAATTGCTGCATTTGACATTTTAAATACATACCCTGTACACGAACGACGTTTGTCGATGACAAACGCCCAGTCGGCATCAGAGTATCAATGCCAGTTCTGGCAATCCATCTGATGTATATTTCAATTTAAAGTTGATGGTACCCTTAAGGTAACGCATGAGTCGTTTAACTGCTTTCCAATGGGCGATGCTGTAATTTTCATTGAATCTGCTTACATCATTGACTGCAAATGCGATGTCCGGCCGCGTGCACTGTGCTAGGTATAATAAACTACCCACCGCTTCTTGGTAAGGTATCTTTGCCAGTTCATCTTCTTTAACGCTTTCTGAACTCATACTAATCGAAAGTTTTTGATTGCAGTCACTAGGTGTTAAAATAGGTTTACAATCTTCCATATTGAAACGCCGTAAAATAGCTTTAATACAACTTTTGATCGTTCCCATATCTATCATTTTGAATGACCTACAAAGTGCATCTTTGATTTGTTTTAAAATATTGAAGCCCTTCGGTCCAATAAGTGACCACCAAATGTTTTCAGCACTGCCTCTAGCTTCAGATTCCACTGCCTTCCAGCTTGTTTAAAACCATACATTGCTCGATTCAATTTGCACACTAACGTTGAACCATCGTGGAATCCTTCTGGTTGAGCAATATATATTTCCTCTTCCAGGTTACCATGCAGAAATGCTGTCAGCCAATGCGATCAAGTAACGTATGGTTGAGTACCGTACCACAGGAGAAAAAATTTCAGTGTAGTCCATTCCATAGACTTGGCTACAGCCCTTTGCGGCCCTTTGGTAAATACCCATTTCGTTTTGATTGCCTTTCTTCCCATTGGCAATTCCATTAGACTCCATGTATTGTTCTCTCTTAACGAATCAATTTCGCTATCCCTTGCCTCTT